CCTGCGTTCAGGACACTGGTGGGGAAAACTCTCGGGTCATGCAGCCATAGTATCTAGGCAGTGGTGATAAAAACATAATGTTAACAAGATTAAGTGGAGAGTCAAAATGGATAGCCTAAACTTGGATGAACAATTGAGACCACTCCTTTAATTTCAATATAAGTTTAAAACTAACTGTCTGCATCCAGACTGAGACTAGCTAACCAGCTAGCTAGCTAACTGATATTTTTTTGTGCAAAAAAAACCTACAGTAATGAACCCACCATAAAGAAAGAGTTATAGGCTTGCCAACTAGCTACAATCGGGTTAAATTAACAGACACAGGGAATAGGCCTAGCTAGCTTAGTAAAAATCTATAGTTAGCAGCTAACCTAATGTTATTTTTAGCTACTAGCTAGCTAAGCTAAGTTATCTAGCTAGCTACCTGATTGTGGAACAATTCACCACACAGTAATGTTAACGTTAGGCTTACAGAAGACAAATTTCTACAGGCACTGACATAGCAAGTTAGCTAGCTATCCAAAATTCAACAAAAATCTAAAAATGTTTGCTACCACACACGCACGGAAAATAGCTTGCTAGCTAGCTAATGCTCGAGCTAGCATGCATGGGGGTTTTTTGCTTGCTAGCTAGCTAAGATTATCTAAAATTATCAATGACTGAGATAATATGTAATTATGATAGCTAGGTCATTTATTTCTGAATGAATAATTAGTAATGTTAGCTAGCTAGCTTTTTACTCACCCATTTTTTGGTCAAACCACAAACGCCTTGCCCATTTGTCCATCTAAAAGTAATTTCCCCTCAGCGCCGGCTGCACTTCTAGTAGACTTGCTACACAGCTGCAACAATCCTTATTCAGGAGCTTGCCGGATCACTTTGATCTTCTGGATTTAGCAGGAGAATTAACCCCCCCACTGGGTCAATGATCTCAATAACTCTACCTCGTTTAAACCCCGCATTAACAACCCCAAACCTGCTATTTTTAAAGAAAACAACCCAACTAAGTGAACCAATGCTGTAACCCAGCAGTTGGGTTATCCAAACAACCCAGCATTCTTTAGAGTGTACAAGTATGTAATGGAATTACAAAAAGGATTAAATTGGTTGGGAGCATATGCTGGATTTGGGACCTGACACTTTTGTTTATTATACACTTTATGATGATGAATGATCCTCAACTAGCCAACACCTATTGGAGGTAGTTCTACCACCCTCAGAATCCCACGTTGATCTTGTGTAATAGCCACACTCACAAAAACACAATTCAAAACAAGGAGCTTTTCTATTCCCGAATACAGCATTTTTCTCATACAATATATTCACAACATTTTGGCCTTTTCTGCTTTTGCTATTTTTTCCCCCAAAAAGAAAGATGTTTCACAGAAATCATGTTACACACTTTTTGCCTAGTTCTCACCCTTTGGGGGAGGCTGGCGAACCCGTCTCATGGAACTTGGTGTTAAAGGTTTCCCAATCTTGTATATCTCCCCCCCCAGGGGAATGGATCTGACCCTAAGCATGAGAACACACTTACCCCCAGAGCCCCCCTTTCCACTGTAATTCTGTAAGGATATCATGAATGGTTTGAGACTGCCATTGAAACAGCCTTTCTTTACAAACCCCTAAATTTAAATCTTTCCCCTTTCCACTAAACACCTTGACAAGGAGAATCCCTCCAAATAATGGGTTGTGTAGCGACACCATGGCTAAAGGTGCACTACAAATTGCCTATTACTTCCTGGTACAGGAGGGAGTTGGGATGACATGGGAATGGGAAAATATCCAATGGCAGACACACACAGACACACACTGCACGCGCACACACACACACTCAGTCACTCTTGGCAGATGGCGAGCCAAGGGATCGACCCAGGCTTTTATTTCAAACCTGTTCTCTTTGTCCCCCCATGCAGCACTTTGCACAGAGTGTCTATCAGATGGCGGTTCTTTATCAAGGTGTGGCTGACATTGGCTGAACCTAACAAAACACAAAGCACTTTTACCACAAGAATATGGGAGGGTTCCATGTAAAAAAGAGTGCTTAGAGTGTCTTCAATGTCCTACCAAGCACTGACATAAGACATTACACTGTCATATTAAAGAGATTTGTGGTCTTCTGACCTTAAATTTATATTTGCATTATTTTTGGGAAAAAGTATTGGTGTTTTTTTTGGGGCCATTACTTTCTTTGGCCATTATTTGCCAACATTGATATTCCCAATTGTAAAAATGTTTAATTCATGACTCGTACCAGCAACTCGGTGCCTTTTGATTGCATCTTATTTTAACATTCTGTCATAAAGAGCACATGTTTAACTTAATAAAAAACAAGTCTCCCATCTCAAGAGGTTAAATAAAAAAATGACTATAGTAAGCGCCTATTAAGTGCCAAATAAAGTAACAGCAACAGGGTGACCGTAAGAGGGTTGACGATTTCATCATAAATCAGCCATAAATCCCCTTGTGACAGGGGGACTAGAAGCTTGTTGTTCACTGTAAACCCCAAAGCATTTTTATCTCAAATACTTCTAGTAAGTTGTACTCAAAGTCATTATTACTTAAAATGTTTATGTGGTACTGACTCAAAAACTTAATCAGAAGTCACACCAACATAAAAAAAAGATATGATAACAAATGAACTTTTTCCCAGCATGCTCTACTGCAGGTAGATTTTTGGCAGTGCGCGTGTGTATTCATGGTTGCCAAGGGAAGCCAGGCTTCCCCCCAAAATTGACCAATACATTTTTTTGTTTTTTTTTTTTTCTCAAAATGTTTGAGTAGCCAGAACTATCCGGTTTTACAGTGTGTGCAACAGGGAGTGGCAATTGAATGCAAGCAACAACAAAAACAGTGAAATAGTTAAAAACATTTCTAGCCTGTCTATCTAATGAATGCATGACAGGGTTTACGTGTTATGCTTGACCCACTCAGTTTTCCACCACAAAACACCAGCAATGGCCAAAAAGAGTAGAACCAGCTCGCCTGCCTTTACACTATGATTTGACTATTAAATGTACAATGTTTCTTTTGAAAAAAATATGTAGAAAGGAATAGTTTCACCATATTAAAACGAGAATTCAGTTCAACATAACAGGGTTGACCTTAAAATAAGGACAGACCTAAATTAATCAGTGATCACAGTAAATAAATAATAATCTTCAGAAATGACGTTGTCAAAGCAACAAATAACTAAGGCTTTACAATGATGGTGAAAACATGGAGAAATGTTGGGGTTAAGTGGGTTAAAATCTTCCTAGAAGGGTACACGGAGGGACATGTCAAGATGCTGAATTTTTGGCACTTTAGCAAGTCTTTATTCAATATAAAAAATCAGATTAAATTCTCCATGTGGTCTTCAGTATATTATATTAAAGGAAACTTCATTAATATAACAGCCTTTAAAATTAAATATTGGTGTACAATTTCTACTTAAAATATCAAAGGGCCGCAAAAGGCACCCATTTCGTGGAATGACCCTCATAACAGTCAAAATCCACAATCAGACAACAGTGTATATTGTATGTTTGCCTGGCTGTTTGATGCAATGGCACCACTCCCAGTAAATTATCAGGGTGTTCGGAGGTAGTGGGAGGATTAGTGGTAATTGCCAACTGTGACTGGGTGGGTCCTGTGTAGGCAAATGGTTGAGATGGGGATGATTACTGGATTTAAAAAAGGGGCAGGCAAATTTTATGAGGGAGAGAAAAAAGGAAAATGTTTCCTTAACAACCTACAGTATTTGCCAGTTGATTCATATTGCAGGAAAATGACCCCCACCCCCCCCCCCCAAAAAAAAAAAAAAAAACATTAATAAATACAAATAATAATAACTAGCAAGCACATCAAGTTTGACAATGTTTAGAAAAACAAATTAGGTTACACTCAGAGATAAAATGAATAAAATTATACATATTTATTTTAGATCACTGCTTATTCAATTGAGTCTGGAAGAAGGGGACCTTGATGGAAAAAGAACCCAAGACAAGGTGGTGATGATTATTACAACATAAAAAGGAAAGAATGCCCCCTGGATACTTTCATTATAATGCCAGTATGTAAAAGCATGTGTGCACCCTCCAGAAAATATTATTTTACACTTTTGTTAGATACAATGCCTTGGAAAATTGGCTAATCCATTTTGATTGACACTCTGTTCTCTTTTTATATAAAAGTCACACCACAGGCTTACTGGCAATTAATATTGAATGATGATAAACTTGGAGGGGGGGTGCATGTGGGATTCTATCCTTGAGTAGTATTTTGTGGGTGGTATTGTTGCAAGATTCAATCTAGAATTAGCAACGTTGCCAAGGCCCCATTTCCCAGGCAACCAGTGGCTGTTTACACACTTTCCTACTTCAGTTTGCCCTGCATTGACTAAGCTGGCTACCGTGTGCCAGTAGTATTTTATACAGACCAAAACCTACATGGACTAACGCTGAATTACAGCATATTGACTTACAACATTTCATTTGTGCATGGCCATTTTTTTCTCCTTTTCAGGGCCTCATGTGGACCACTGGGTGAATGCATACATAGAAAAAGCTGTTGTTTTGGACCTAAATAGCTGCAGGCATAGCTGAAATTTCCCCTGAAGTTCTACAGGCATCATGTGTGCAACGGACCAGCTCCAGATAAGGTCAGAGGTCATCACGTACTGCCTACCTACTTCTGCTAAACACTCGATTCTGCATATTGCTCATAGGACTACATTTAATACATTTTGCGATGTATTAATACCCAAATTACTTGTTCTTTAATTTTTATTAGCTATAAAGCATAAAATATTATACAATTTGACAAATGTACTAGGCTATAAACAGTAAAAGACAATTTGCTTGACATTGAGATTTAATTGCATTTTGTGAGTACATTTAGAAAATTGTATTTCTCAATAAATAATAGAATAACAGACATGAAAGCAACTACAAATAAACAGCCATCCTTTTGAATCTTATCCATAGCTTTGGTTTCACACTCCAGTTAGTACTGAGTGCATGCTGAAGTGCAGCATGAGTCAGCTAACTCCTGTCTCCAATCTTGAACAGGGCGGGTGTCACAGACTGCGAGAAGGAGAGGGTTGGTCCGGTCGGGTGTCATTCTTAATGGAAAAACTCCTCCTGTTACAGTACTCCACTATCCACGATCTGGGTCAGCGTCAGTGTAAGTGATGTCATCGAGAACTTGGTTGAGCCCTGTCCTCAGGGCGAGATAGGGTGAGAGGGCTGCCGGACGCCCAGCTGGCCTGTGGAGACAACCCGCCCCGGGAGAGACAGAGCCAGGGAGGGATGCAGGAGGACGAGGTGGGAGACAACGGGTCCCTGGCCCACAACACACAAGATACAGGAAGTGACAGAACCAGTGAAGGGTAGGCCAACCCCAGGAGGGCCCAGAGACAGGTCTCCGAGCTAACCAGAGGACGTCTGCAGCACGGAGGAGCGGGGAGGATGGAGGGCCAGGTGTGTGTGGGAATGGTGGGATTCAGGTTGTTCAAATTTTTAATTTTAGTCATTTAGCAGACACTCTTATCCAGAGCGACTTACAGTTAGTGAGTGCATACATTTTTCATACTGGCCCCCGTGGAAATTAAAGTTTTCCAATAATAAGTAACAGGAGAGGCCATTAAACTACCAGTTAGTCATAAGTGCAAAACAGTTCTTATATGCTTCAGTGAACAAAGATAAAGAAAAAGCTAGAATACCCAAATGAAAAGGAATGCTCAAAGTCAGCACTCAGGGAACTACAAAGGTGATAAAACCAAAGTTATTTCTATGGTTTAGTAAACAAGATTTTCCGAACTAGAGTTTCCACCATTTTAGTTATAGTACATATTGACACTTTTGAATAGAATTTGGCACTCAGCAGTCCAAATGTGTGTAAGCGTACGAGTGTACACGTGTGTGTTTACGTGTGTGTGGTGTGGTGTGTGTATATGTGTGTTTTAATCCATATCTCTGGGTGCGGCAGGTGTGTGTCTGGAGGAACAGTGCCTCAGTGGGAGCAGGAGGAGGCCATCCCCGGGGGTGGTGTTACTACCGTATCCAGAGAGGGAGAGGGACAGGCGGACAGAGGAGCCCAGGGGCCTGGGGCCCTTCTTCTTCTTTGGAGGAGGGAATGGAGCCTCCATGTAAGTCACTCCCCTATACAATGAAGTGAAATGATAAGACAATTCAACTTAGGTCTTAATTCAATCTTTTGAGTGTTGACATTTTTTGTATTGACTACTTTTATTCAATGTAGAGTAACCTCCTATTGTGAAGCAGAGGATGGCACGGATCTACGACAAGACTAGAGAGGACTTTAACTCAAGTGGTGCGAGATCAAATCCCCAGTCACCTACTACAACTTCAAAGAAGGTAGCTGTTCTATAGAACTCATATGTTTCACTCCACAGAGGATCAATACAGTTACATAAAATGGGTTTAAATTTAGTCTTGAATATTTCATAATAAGCGGCAAATATATATCTGGGTTCAGTGATTGAAATGTGTCTCTTTGTAGAAGACAACAGATGTAAAATGACTATATGAAGGAGAATGGTTTTGCTTATGTCATCATGTCGTAGGTGAACAGCTCCTTTACCAGATCCCCAACAACAAGTGCTGAAACCACTAAGACGGCCTCCTTAGCAGCCTAAGGGAGTATGACCGCGTCAGCAGCAAGGTCAACCACGGTCGAGGACTGAGGTGAGGCATCCGAGACAAAGAAGGTGCATAGGGCTCTCACAGTATAGTCCTGTAAAATACTGTATCTCTATAGAGTAGTTCATAATGTCTACTTCTAATGGTTACTTCATCTAATGGCTACTTCTATAATAAGTTATGTTGGTTAACTTTTTATTTTTCTCTTTTTATTTTACTTCACTAGGGTTTGTCTTTCCTGGATCTGTTTTTAATCCAGTATTAAAATAAGATAACACTTTAAAGAAGTGGACAATCCCTTTAAGTAGACAGTGACCTTTCATCTATGGCTACTTCTGTGCCTTGTAGGAGGTTGAAATTGACGAGTTTTTCCCGAACACCTTCCGCATGGGACATGAGAGATGAGAGAGAGGCTTTCTTTGCCCAGCAGGAAGGTAAAATTGGCCTAAGTCAAATACACGCCTCCAGTAACACGATGACATGTCAATACTAGCACAATATAATACAGGTTCAACTAGATTCTGTAGGGGCTACAGTTTGAAAAGGAACTTGTGCTTCATGGAAGAGACAATGAAGGCAAAGACAATGAAAACAAATAATGCGTAACTGACAGATTTGCGTGACACAATAGTTGTCCTGGCGATTTGAATGTATTATTGATTATTGACTTATTGGAACATTAAGGTACAGCATTTCAGTTCCCAGCAGGCTATTTTGATAAAATCACAAGAGAACCTGTTGTTTGCCATAGAGAAATGTCGGCAGAGGGCAGGTCTGAGACACAGAGAGGACATGCAGTGAAAAGCCATGACACCCACAGTCCTTTGAACAGTCGCTACTGCCCTCAAATGCAGCAGCCTTTCCACCATACGCCTCTCCTAATTTCAAACCTGTTTATTTCAAAATCAAAAGGCAATCGCACATCTGAGCTATCTTTGTTGCAGGTGCATGGTAACAGTTGAATAACATGAGAAAAATAAGAAAACCCGCACACTGCTCTTGCTAGTATCACTGCTCTTTATTAAGCTTTACATATCGGCCTCAAGGCCTTCGAAACTGTTTATTTCACCTTCTGCAGTTAGAAGGGTTTGTAAAGAGACAGAAGGGTTGAAGAAGAAACCATGACACAGTCAGTTCTCCCACTTACACCAATAGCACAAGTAGACTTATGACTCAGCTGTCATAAAAGAAGGATGCGTATAACTTGCAATGTGCATCATCATGCAGTTAATAGTAACTTTTAATTCTAAAAGTTAAAGGTAAAATCCACTCAAAACTATATTTTGGTATTTATTTCATTAGCCCATTGTTAATACAATCCCAAAATGTTTTGCATGTCAGCAGTCAGTTTTCAGGATATTGGACTTTCAAGAAGCAAAGTGTCACTTGCCACATCTCATGATGATGCAAATGCATCATATGAATGCAAACGCAAAACAAGGAATCCTCCTCTCCTCCCCCTAACTCCTCCCTCTCTGTGGATGACTTCGTCAACCATTTTGAAAAGAACGTTGACGACATCCGATCCTCATTTATTAAGTCAATGACACCACTGGTCCTGCTCACCTGCCCTACCCTATGCTTTGACTTCTTTCTCCCCTCTCTCTCCAGATGAAATCTTGCGACTTGTGACGGCCGGCCAACAACCTGCCCGCTTGACCCCTATCCCTCTCCTCTCTTCCCAGACCATTTCGGAGACCTTCTCCCTTACCTCACCTCGCTCATCAACTCATCCTTTACCGCTTGGCTATGTCCCTTCCGTCTTCAAGAGAGCGAGAGTGCACCCCTCCTCAAAAAACCTACACTCGATCCCTCCGATGTTAACAACTACAGACCAGTATCCCCTTCTTTCTTTTCTCTCCAAAACTCTTGAGCATGCCGTCTCTAGCCAACTCTCCTGCTATCTCTCTCAGAATACCTTCTTGATCCAAACCAGTCAGGTTTCAAGACTGGTCATTCACTGAGACTGCTCTTCTCTGTGTCACGGAGGCTCTCCGCACTGCTAAAGCTAACTCTCTCTCCTCTGCTCTTATCCTTCTAGCCTATCTGCTACCTTTGATACTGTGAACCATCAGATCCTCCTCTCCACCCTCTCCGAGTTGGGCATCTCCGGCATGCTCACTCTTGGTGTCACGATTTCCGCCGAGGCTGCCCCCCCCCTGGTTGGGCAGGCTTCGGCGTTTGTCATCACCGGAGTACTAGCTACTGCCGATCCCATTCTCATCACTCCCCAAAATTATATGTGATAAGTGTTCCCTTGTTCCCCTTGTCATTGTGAGTGATTGTTTTTGTGAGAGCGTGTAGCTCGGTGGAGCTACTATCACTGTGTTTATGCCAAGGTGGATGTTTTCCCTGTAATAGTTTCGTTTGACGCTTGGGGCGTTTTGATTATGTAAACGGAATAAACTCTGAACTTCTGTATTTTACCTCCTGTCCTGACTCTCTCTTCACACCTCGTCACACTTGGATTGCGACCTACCTTACAGGTCGCTCCTACCAGTGGCGTTGCGAGAATCTGTCTCTGCACCACGTGCTCTCACCACTGGTATCCCCAGGGCTCAGTTCTAGGCCCTCTCCTATTCTCTCTATACAACCCAAGTCACTTGGCTCTGTCATATCCTCACATGGTCTCTCCTATGATTGCTACGCTGACGACACACAATAAATTTTTCTCCTTTCCCCCTTCTGAACCAGGTGGCGAATCACATCTCTGCAGTCTAGCAGACATATCAGTGTGGATGTCGGATCACCACCTCAAGCTGAACCTCGGCAAGACGGAGCTGCTCTTCCTCCCGGGGAAGGACTTGCCCGCTCCATGATCTCGCCATCATGGTTGACAACTCCATTGTGTCCTCCTCCCAGAGTGCAAAGAACCTTGGCGTGACCCTGGACAACACCCTGTCGTTCTCCGCTAACAATCAAAGCGGTGACCCGATCCTGCAGGTTCATGCTCTACAACGTTCGCAGAGTACGACCCTACCTTACACAGAAAGCAGCACAGGTCCTAATCCAGGCACTTGTCACCTCCCGTCTGGATACTCCTACTCGCTGTTTGTTGGCTGGGCTCCCTGCCTGTGCCATAAACCCCTACACTTACCCAGAACGCTGCAGCCCATCTGGTGTTCAACCTTCCCAAGTTCCTCCTCCACACACTCCACTGGCTTCCAGTTGAAGCACACATCTACTACAAAACCATGGTGCTTGCTGCGGAGCTGTGAGGGGAACGGCACCGCCTTACCTTCAGGCTCTGTTCAGACCCTACAGCCACAACGAGGGCACTACGTTCATCCACCTCTTGGCCTGCTAGCCCCCCTACCTCTACGGAAGCACAGTTCCCGCTCGAGCCCAGTCAAACAAGCTCCCTCACGACGCCAAGGACAGCGGAGTCACTGGACCACCTTCCGGAGACACTTGAAACCATATCTCTTTAAGGAATACCTGGAATAGTATAAAAGTAATCCTTCTACCCCCCCTCCCCATCCCCCCCCAATAAAAAAAAAGATTGGGTGGTTGTCCCACAAGCTATCATAAGTTGAATGCACCAATTTGTAAGTCGCTCTGGATAAGAGTAATGTAATGTGTGGCAAGTGCCACTTTGCTTCTTGAAAATCCTATAATTTTTCCTTTAAGTTAAGAGGATGACAATGATACATCTGCATGTGCATATTATTATCAACTGAAACAGCATCTCTCAAACCTACGGCATAATGACAACAATCAGGTGAAATATAATAACATGCATAATGACAACAATAAGGTTTACGTCTGCTTTGTGACATAAATAACAAATATTGTGACATATAGGTAATGTAGTCAGCAAAGGTGACATATAACTAATTGTCTGCATAGTTCACATTTAACTACAATGGTTAAATGTGACTTTTGAGATACTCTAATAAGAAATTTAAAAAAGCATTCCCACAATCTGAGTTATATTGTTGCAGGTGCATGGGAATAATGCGAATAGAGAAAGCGCACACTGCTCTTGCTCGTATCAGTTTTTTTATTCAAGCTTACACAAAATATTCTAATAAGACCATGTTGCGTTGCTAGGTATGTGTGATGAGGAGACAAGCGTGTGGATCTGTAAGCCCACGGGCCTCAACCAGGGGCGAGGCATCTTCCTCCTGAGAGCCAGGAAGACATCTCGGCCTTCAGACTCAAGCTGCAGAACATCGCAGAGAGCCAGTGCAACAGGACGTTGCCTTTTCGCTTGCCCCAGGCACGCATCGTGCAGCAGTGGGTGAACACTAGGGCTGTGAACGCTACTTTATGAGGACATTCAGTACTGTGTCTAAAAAGCCAAAAGGAATTGCAAATGATATGATCATCATATACAGTGCCTTCGGAAAGTATTCAGACACCTTTACTTTTTCCACATTTTGTTTACGTTACAGCCTTATTCTAAAATGGATTAAATAGTTTTTTCCCCTCATCATCTCACACAATACCCCATAATGACAAAGAAAAAAACAGGTTTTTAGAATTTTTTGTAATGTATTACAAATAAAAAAACTGAAATACTACATTTACGGGGGACCAGTATGAAAAATGTATGCACTCACTAACTGCAAGTTGCTCTGGATAAGAGCGTCTGCTAAATTACTCAAATGTAAATTTACATAAGTATTCAGACCCTTTACTCGTACTTTGTTGAAGCAGCTTTGGCAGCGATTACAGCATCGAGTCTTCTTGGGTATGACGCTACAAGCTTGGCACACCTGTATTTGGGGAGTTTCTCCCATTCTTCTCTGCAGATCCTCTCAGCTCTGTCAGGTTGGATGGGGAGCATTGCTGCACAGCTATTTTCAGGTCTCTCCAGAGATGTTTGATCGGGTTCAAGTCCGGGCTCTGGCTGGGACACTCAAGGACATTCAGAGACTTGTCCCGAAGCCTCTCCTGCATTGTCTTGGCTGTGTGCTTAGGTTCGTTGTCCTGTTGGAAGGTGAATCTCCGCCCCAGTCTGAGGTGCTGAGCACTCTGGAGCAGGTTTTCATCAAGGATCTCTCTGTACTTTGCTCCGTTCATCTTTGCCTCGATCCTGACTAGTCTATCAGTCCCTGCCGCTGAAAAACATCCCCACAGCATGATGCTGCCACCACCATGCTTCAACCGTAGGGATTGTGCCAGGTTTCCTCCAGACGTGACGCTTGGCATCCAGGCCAAGAGTTCAATCTTGGTTTCATCAGACCAGAGAATCTTGTTTCTTATGGTCTGATAGTCTTTAGGTGCCTTTTGGCAAACTCCAAGCGGGATGTCATGTGCCTTTTACTGAGGAGTGGCTGCCGTCTGGCCACTCTACCATAAAGGCCTGATTGGTGGAGTGCTGCAGAGATGTTTGTCCTTCTGGAAGTTTTCTCCCCATTTCCACAGAGGAACTCTAGAGCTCTGTCAGCGTGACCAGTGGGTTCTTGGTCACCTCCCTGACCAAGGCCCTTCTCCCCCGATTGCTCAGTTTGGCCGGGAGGCCAGCTCTCTTCTTCCATTTAAGAATGATGAAGGCCACTGTGTTTCTTGGGGACTGCAGAAATGTTTTGGTACCCTTCCCCAGATCTGTGCTTTGACACATCCTGTCTCGGAGCTCTAAGAACGATTCCTCGACCTCATGGCTTGGTTTTTTCTCTGACATGCACTGTCAACTGTGGGACCTTATATAGACAGGCGTGTGCCTTTCCAAATCATGTCCAATCAATTGAATTTACCACAGGTGGTAAATCAAGTTGTAGAAACATCTCAAGGATGATCAAAGGAAACAGGATGCACCTGAGCTCAATTTCGAGTCTCATAGCAAAGGGTCTGAATACTTATGTAAATAAGGTATTTCTGTTAAATGTATTTAATACATTTGCAAAAATTTCTAAAAAACTGTTTTCGCTTTGTCATTATTGGGGTATTGTGTATATATTGCTGAGGATTTTTTATTTATTTAATCCATTTTAGAATAAGGCTGTAACGTAACAAAATGTGGAAAAAGTCAAGTGAATACTTTCCGAAGGCACTGTACTGTATTCTATCATTCTTATTTATTGATGTGGTTATACTGTAGTCATTCTCCATGAATTGCAAGCTGCCAGTGTCTACCACATTCGAATTGGATATATTATTCAATTTCTCACCAACGGAATGCAAGATCTGTTTTTAAAAGAGTGATGTACTATAGACGGGTTGGTTGTTTAACAAAACCGACACGTGCGCAACTATGGGGCAAACCAGACGGGGTTGGCTTAGATTGTTGACAACATGTCAACATATTTAGTCTTCAATGTTTATTAAAACATAAATAAAGCTGCACATTGATCACTTGGTGTCTCTCAAATACATTGTTACAGTTGTTGGTTAGCTAGCTCGTGAATTTTAGCCATATTAGCATAGACGAAACATCAGTCAAAACACCTCAAACAAGACATGGTATTAAGAACAAGATAAACTAACTGAAACGAGCCACTTACGATTCCCCACATGGCAGTTTCTTGTCATTGTTGCTAGCTATCTTGCTATCCAGAATCACAACAACACACGGCCTTCTCCACCATTGAAGCGTGCGCATCGTTTTTCGTGACGTTCTTAGCTAACCCGTCTATTGATACAAGGCTCTGGGCCTGTATTCAGAAAGAGTCTCAGAGTATGAGTGCTGATCTAGGATCCGTTTTGCCTTATAGATCATATGAATATGATTATTTGGACTGCGGGGACGATCCTAGATCAGCCAAGTGGATTATAATGTATATCTAATGTTCCTCGGGTATGTCCAGAACCCTCTGCTCCTAAAGGGGAGAAAGTTTGATGTGCGCTCCTATTTCCTCATTGCCTGCACTTCACCCTATATGGCATTTTTTCGCCATGGTTACGTGCGCTTGACCTGTGACCTTTATGACCCCAACTCCCCCAACCTCTCTTCCCATTTGACCAATCAGGTTAGTAGAAAAATGATGCTTCTCTTTCTTGGCTTACAAAATTTTTTTGCCTCCCCTGAGCAGGATAGTGTTTTTCGTCATGAATCTTGTTCTGGAGGCAGCTCTGCAGAGTGGTCACTAGCTGGCACAGCCACAAATTCATAAAAAATCTGATTTAAAAACCTAACCCTAACCTTAACCCTAACCACACTGCAAACCCTAATGTCTAACCCTAACCCTTAAATTAGACCAAAAATTTAAAAATTGTTTTCATGAATTTTTACAATATAGGCAATTTTGACTTTGCAGCTGGCCTATGTAAGGGAAATCGCTCAGTTCTGCCTCCAGGACAAGGCTCATGACAATAAATGTCAACCTGCTCCCCTGACCTGCAAGTTTAGTCATATAAGCAGAGAAATCACTATTTCAGAATCAGGTTGTCAGCAGATGCATCTCCATAGGATACTGCATGAAAATAGACCAGAAACCAGGTCATAAAATAATGGTACCAATCCAGTCTCAAACTGTTGGCCCAGTAACAACTCCTCTCTCTGGCCCATTCATGTGTATCCTGGTCCCCCTTTTGTTTCCCCACAGTACTGCAGAAGAAGAATCCTCTCTACAGCGTGCTGAAGGAGGAGACCGTCTGGTCCATGGATCGATTCAACACTTACGTCAATGACAAGCTCAGTGTTTTCCAAGGGCCTGCCTAGGACTGGGTGCTTGGCGCTTTTGCCGTGAGTTTGATCGTTTGTTAGGTTTACATCATGGTTAAGTTAACCCTTCAGGGATCAATTATGAAAGCATCATTGTTGTTATTTATAGTTAAGTGATGTACATATTTGTGTGATTTTACTCCTGGGAGAGATACGAACTACATCCTCTCCACCAACACTTTGTGTCTGTCTGTCTGCCTGTTTTGTCTGTATGTCTGTCCGTCTGTTTGTCTGTCTGGGCTTTCTGTCTGTCTCTCCCTTGCCCTATGTATGTTTTCCATTCATAGAAGCGAATGCAGCAGATCATGATCCAGTGTTTTTTTTCGCTGTGAAAGCCAAGCTAGATCGTAAACTGGGGTACTTTGACCTGATTGGCTGTGACTTCATGATTGACGATGATTTTAAGGTCGGCAAAACACCTCATTTGGTTTTTAATGTACAGTGTGTGAGTTTAAATGTATTTGTGAGCGGTTGGTCGGATTAACAGTTAATGTGCTTGCTGTGCCTTGGTCTGTTCTCATCTAGGTGTGGCTGTTGGAGATGAACTGTAACCCAGCCCTCCACACCAACTGTGAGGTCCTGAAGGAATTTGATTCCCAGTACTGTTGTGGAGACTTTGGGTGAGCACACACTACCGTTCACATGACTGGCTTAACCAGTTCTGTTGGACTATGATATTACCCTCAAGAACTTGACAAGAATATCCTCAAATGCAGCTGATCTCAGAAATAAACTCAGTATGGAAATACTTTTTTGTCTTTGTAATTCAAGATAGCGAGATGATTTGTTGATGTGTCACCAGTTCCCCTTTAATTTGTTAGTTTGCCTGTGTGTGGCTGTTCTCTTTGTTTTTCTGTTGGAGGGTTGAAAATAGCCTGGTGTGTGACAGCTACTACCCAGCTGTAGGTTAGTCAGGCCTTACAGCCTATGCCTTATCTCCTGCAGATCTGACTCTGGAGATCTTCACAAGTGTCGCTGTGGGCTGAAGCTGCTGCCACTGGCCAGTCAGAGGGACTTTGTGCTACTATATGATGGCGAGACCGCACCTGTCCCTGTTCTCAGCCGTAGGAGCAAAACAGCAGTACGCCTCCGAGCCCAGCGCCCAAAGAGTGCTCCACCCAAATGCCCTTCAACCACCAGCAGGACTCAGAAGGCCGAGTCTGTAGCATCAGTGTCTCGGGAGAAGTCAGTGAGTGAAAACACATTTTCTCCTGTATCCATGATGGCTGTCTTGGAACCCCTGATGGCATTGATGCCCCCCAAACCTCCGGCGCCGACCATCCTTCCCTGTCACTAACACAATGATCCATCCCTGCAGCCGGGTCCCAACCGACCCACAGGCCCAGCAGGGTCCCTCAACCCCATCCCACCCATAACCCAGTCCTCGCCCCCAAGCCAGCCCAAGCCGCGTGGAGCTCCGGCTCAGCAAGTGCACTTGGCAGGGGCGATCGGGGAACTCAGAACATCGCAAGCCCCCAGATCTCCTGTGGGTTTAAGAGCACCTTCATGTCCTTGTCCACCCCGGCTATGACTGAAGGCTCGCGCCTCTCTGTGAGATGCCTGCGGGCCTCCAAAGCCTGCCACCCTGACCAGGAACAACCCTTCTGCTACTCTCTGAGGCCCACCCAGTTCCGCCTGGCCCAACCTGGCACCAGCGGCCCCGTGTGGACAGACAAACAGGACAAGGAAGGGGGACAAGAGGGAGAAGGGGGCCAGGACCCGGTGTAGACACACAGAGTGCAGCCAAGGAAGAGAAAGAGGACAAAGAGCACAGGGAGCAGCTGTGATATACTCACACTGAGACACTCACACCTGTCAAAGTTATAGACTTACTGTTAATCATTTTGGTTTGTGGGTAACAATATGCTGGCTGAGGTTGGAACCTTGTCATGAATGGAATCCTACTTAGCTTTTCATTACAGAAAAGCATTAAAATCATATTTGAAATGAGTAAAGTATGTTTATCCCCTGAAAAAAACAGATGATTCTGTCTTTTGATGTCACGCGTGCTGTAGGTGGGTGTAGTGGTGGAATCAAACGCAGGACACCGAAGTATAGTCCAACAGACTTTAGTAACTCTCCAACAAGGAAATACGAGAACACTTGCCCGTAGGCGAAATAACGCACGAAGGCGAACAAAACAAATGCGCACTACCAGGTGCGTAAACACTCCACGCAGTGGAGGGAAGCTCAACCGAGCGAAATAGCGAACATCAGCCCTACACACCGACAGACAAAAATCAATAACACACAACACTGACAAACACACGAGAACTAAATAGGACACTAATGACACTAATGAAAACATGTGTGACAACAATCAGACAAAAGCAAACGAACATGAAACATACAACGTGGCAGCTAGTATTCCGAGACAACGAACGCCGAAGCCTGCCCGAACAAGGGAGAGAGGCAGCCTCGGCCGAAACCGTGACAGTACCCCCCCCCTTGACGCGGCTCCAGACGTGCGCCGACTCCGGCCTCGGGACGAACCGGAGGACGCGGAGCAGGGTGCGTCGGGTGCCCACGATGGAATTCCGTCAGGAGAGACGGGTCCAAAGGTCTCTCCTCGGCACCCAGACCGCTCTCCGGACCGTACCCCCCCCTCCCTAGAT